AGCTCCCAGACATCACTACAAAACGCTGAACCGCCAAGGCTCACGGTTGACAGATGTCCTGAGACCGTATCAACCTAAGCATTGCACTAGTCTGAGTGGGAATGCAAAAATCTTTCTAAATCTTTGCCCAGATATGGCAATAAATGGAAAACGATCAATGTTTTTCTCATAAGCACCTTTCGTTATCCAATCTTATCTACTCCATCTCACAGGTGGTGGAGTAGATGGAGCCATTCATCGAGCTGCTGGCACAGCTGAGCTTCAAAAGGAGTGTCGAGCTATTGGCCACTGTGATACAGGTGCTGCTGTGATAACAAGCGGATGCAAGATGACTCATATCAAAAGTATGCCAACTTTTTGGTGTTATTATAGGTTGTTAGTAAAATGAACACAATTTCTGCTTTGGATTAACTTTTCATTATTTTCCTTTACCACGCCAAAACTGAGCCGGTTTTCATCGAAATTTGCCCATGACGGTAATTTAGCTAGAAAGTTGTCTTCAGGATATATTCAACCCGTAACGCATAACATCACTTCAGTTTGTCGCCAAAACGCCTGGCGCTTGCACGAACACCTAGAACACAAAATTCGCCTAAAACTTGTCCTGAAGTGTGACTCGTAGAACATAAATAGCATATTTTTTCGTTGCGAGTGAGCTTGAACATGCGCCGCAGGCGCTGGCGCAAGAATGTGATACACGTTCACGCGCTAAACAGATGCGATATTGGTGTTCTACTAGTCGAATACCCCGGAGACAAGTTTCTGGCCAACTCCTCAGTCTCGGACAAATTGCCACGGCTTAGTTTTGACGAGTGGGTTAATAATGTCACTTTTCCTTTATTTATTAAGAGGAACTATAGCATTACCTCGCAATGATTATTCAGACATAATACACACAGTCGGTCCGCAGTGTTCTGGTAACGTTGCATCCGCGAATGATCGTGAGAAGTTGGTGTCTTGCTATCGATCATGCCTTGATTTGGCTTTGGAGAACAAACTTAAGAGCATCGTAAGTTGGATATCTTGACTGGATTCCTGAATACTAGATACAAGTCTGTGAAATTTTCTAGGCGTTCTGCTGCATCTCGACAGGAGTCTACGGATATCCTCAAGAAGACGCTGCGAAGACTGTTGTCAGTTTTCTCACCGAATGGTTGTCAAATCCTGAGAACGCGATGCATGTACGTTCAATGATTCTCTCGTTATGATGTTGGCTTTCTTCAACTGTAAAACGATGTTTCTATCTTACTTTAAACTTTGAAGTTTAACCCTTTCGAACCTGAATTTTTCCGTGGAAAATTTTTTTCTAGCTATTGTTTATTACTTGTGAGCATATAGGTATCATTATGGCGAAATTTGGAAGCTATTCGATCACAAACAAAGAAACTAGGAAGCTTTGAAAATTGGCCACCTTCTTAGTTTTTAGCTTATGTCGAAACAATTCCAAATTTCAGTTATGCCGAAAAAGTTTATGATCTTGCATCATTATATCTAACTTTTTATTTAAGAAAAATGATATATTTTGAGATTTAAGAATTTGATATTTTCTGAGATGAATTGACATAGCGGCATGCTGAGACCAGCGGCGATTCATTGTTACACTTTCACACAAGACTTGTTATGCTAGCAGCAACACACAATAAAATGGCGGGCATATACGACAAAGCATAATTAGGAAGGAGGGTCGTCTGAAGTAAACTCTACAGTGGGTAGTAGAGATATGATGTTGCGGCGGTAATGCAGTCGTTTGAATTTGATGGTGGCAGTTGCCACCACCAGGTTCGAAAGGGTTGAATTTTTCTGAAGTTTCGAAAGTGTTCAAAGTTTCTCTACCTTACTGGATTTGCTGATTTTTTGCAATATTTCTTGCCGTTGTAGTAAGTGGTTTTTCAGAAGCACTTAAGTCAATGATCTTACCTTCCTTCAAATAATTAATGTGACCGGTTTTAGTACGAGTTAGTTTTGTTGATAAGACGGTCGGTCAAAGCCTTTGTTTTCAGATTGCGCGTATTGTTCTCGTACTGTTCAATCCTGTTGATGTGGCTGCTTACGAGAAGTTCTTCGATGAGTATGCTAAGTCGCAAAAGTGATCCTGTGTGTATGTTATATTTTGCTTTTAGTGTTAGGTTTACCTTGTCTAATCATAAACGAGTACCCACGGTTTCTGCTAGCTTGTCACTTTGCTTTCATTTGTTATAAATTTCATTTTGTTGCTTCAATTTAGAATAAAAGATTTGCTTAGCTTTGTGGTGCACATGCATGGTTAGGTCCTCGTGAGCTACTGGTTTCTATACCCCGTCCTGTGGCTCGGACACAGCTATCGCATAGCTGTTCATATCATTGTATTTCAGGTGTTTGAATGGCTCCCAAAATATCTTTCAATCCGTACGAAGTGCTTGAAATAGAGCGAGGGTGCTCGGATAAGGAGTTGCAAAAGGCCTATAAGCAGCAATGCTTACGGTGGCATCCTGACAAAAATCTTGGCAATAAAGAGGAAGGTAAGTGTATATGAGGTACAAAAGGTTATTACAAGGAAGAAGCACCTCTGGGGTTGCAAGACTGTGCTCGACTTTGTTTTTGATTTCATGTTTTGCTTTATTCATATTTCTTTTCAGCGGAGAAAAAGTTCATTATTGCTAAGGAGGCTTTCCAATTTTTGTTCGACAAAACCAATCGGGTAGGTTCATAGTCTTCCAAGGCACAACTTTTTGCATTTTTCTCCGTTATCGTTAGATAAAAACTGCTTCCATTGTTAAGGATGAATATGATCGAGATTTTGAACGGGCCAAGTTCAGAGAGGCAAATCAGAGAGCCCGCATGGAGAAGGCAGATAGTACCAGGAGGAAGTGCGTCCAGACAAGATTTCGTTCAACATTTTTCTGCAGAAATCATGTTTACGTAGTGATGTTTAGGCTTATCGATGAACTACATCAGAGAGAAAAGGAGTTTGCCGAGAAACGTCATACTGACGAGCCATCTCACGCCCGCGCAGTTGCATCAGAAGCGAAGAGAGGAGGTATTGTTGTCCTTTCGTCTGTTTAAAATGAGAAGTTTTCTGATGTGATGGATTTTCATTCATTGGTTCTAAGCGTAGTTTCCGTCTATGGTAGTGTTTTGAATTGTGAACTTAGCATGAAAGAGATAGTAGCTTCACCTACATATTTCGCTCTTCCTTTAGATATCTTCTAGTATGTTTCATCCGGAGATCTCTTTCTCAAATTTAGTTGCAGGTCTCTCTTACACTCCAGTTTCAATTAGTGAATATTTGCCATTATGGAATAGATGTCTAATGAGCAATAATAAGTTTTATATTTTTCAGGAAAAGCGTATCCGTTCGGAATTCGAGCGCCTACGTCAGCGTCTTGAAAAGGAAGCGGCCGATGAAGTGCATGCCCAACAAGAACGATTAGCTCGGCTTGCGAGGGAACAGACGGAAGGAAAAGCATCGGAGGAGGTTGAAGGTTGGATGATTATTTTTCTTACAGGCACTTCGAAGAATAGTGCAAAATGAATTCTTGATTCATTCTCTTCCATTTTTTTTTTCAGAGAAACA